CATATTCTTCAACGCATCTATAACCTCGTGATATTATCGAACTATCTGGAATCAAAGTATAACAATCCCCCCGTCAGATTCTAGCCAAACATAAGCCACCTGTTTGCTAAAATATAGTCAAGAGCCATGTCATGTTTCAACAGCGTCAGTTCTGTGACTTCTTTGAGTATTTGACAGAAGGTTAAACCCTCTTATTGGTTTCATTCGCCAAATCCCTGCAAAGTATAGGTAATATTATCAATATGATCTGCCAAAAATGTTACACCATACCATGGAAAAAGTCAGAGTCCCCACTTCTCTCCTATACTTATTCTCCAATGGTAGGCTTCAAGACTATGAAATGTCGCCATGTCTCTTTTCACCCTATTTCAACTCTAGCTTCAGATTTATCTGTGTCCGGTGCTACCCCCTCTGTTTAATGGTAAAAGCCTCATATGGAAGCTTCAACGTTGACATGTAACAACATCCTGTCCCATCCATAGGGTAAGAATATATATGCTTTATCACCACAAACCCACCAAATATCTCTAAAATTCCCAATAGTCACATTGCCAGGCAAAAGCTGATCTTTCACCATCAAAGTCCTGCTCTTCTTACTAACTGGTACATAAAAAGTTACATTATATTTGTCATCTCTAATCTTATGTTCATGCTTATCCAAAGTCATCATATCATCATCACAATTCGATATTCCCATGAACATACCCTTTCCATCATATGTTTTATAGAACAAAAACAACTTTTAGCCCTCACTGCTTTCACTCCAATGCTTCAGGGTTCACTGTTTACCTGATTTTCTTACCGTCTAATAAATTTACATAGGGTAATTCATTTAACCAAGAACACCTAAACCTAGGCCTAAACAAATGTTTTGACAATGACATTACTTTATCTGTTAATGCTTGTTGCTGATACAACAGCCATGACAAGCATAATATTGACACATACTTGATAGAGGTTGAGCAACTGTCTCTAAAATGGAAACCCCAACGTCTCTGGTGCCGGAATTCTCAACAGACATGGACCCTCCAAGATTCCTCACTGATCTTACAGAATGAGTTAACTGCTGGAACCAAAGATTTCTACCTGCCCATTCATCTTTAATCTTCAAAACAGAAGAATCAAATCCATATGCTTTCCATTTAGTTTCTCTTTTCCCTAACGAGCGGTATTGATCAGATGTATCTTCTGATGTTATGTTGAACTCAAAGAACTCATCCTGTACCTCCATGATATTATCTTGCACTATTTCAGATGAATCTATATTGTTCTCTACCACTATCTGCTGAGTCATTCCTGCTACATCCTTTAATTTCAGAAAAGTTGTTGTCGGTGTCGGTGTCATACTTCCTACATTTGTTATTGCCGTCGTACCATTAATTCCTTCCAAAGTTACCATTAAAGTAGTTGATTTAGTCGATGAATTAACACCCTTAATTACTTCTAGTGGGAAAGTTACCGATATTTTCTGTGTATTATTTACTGTTGGAGTGGCTACTGTAACAT